AATTGATGATCTCTTGAATTGGAAGAGTATCAATCCCCTTTCTTCAATTGATCTTTCTAAAGCCAGAGAGAAGGTAGAGCTAGGAAATGAAAAGTGTTTCTCACTCTAAAATCTAAAATCTCACTTCTACAAACTAAGAACTCCCCTATTCTAATCTATCATAGCCACTTAAATAGCTTCCTTCCAAAACTAGGCATAAGTGACATTTCAACGCACGTCCAACGCTCGGCCAACGTGCGTTGGCCGGTCACTTGACCGTTTCTACGAACGTCCGACGCACGTTGGGCCATGCGTTGATGTTTCTGTTTCTTCTCAACGCACGTCCAACGTGCGTTGCTTCTTCCCGGCTTGACTTCGGCTTGTTTCCTTGTCTCGCTTTGCTCCGGAATGTGACACCATGTCTCCTTTTAGCTCAAACCTTCCTACAATTCATAAAAACACAAAGTGTGGTGGTAATTTAAAGCACAATACACAATAAAATCTTACTAAGGTATGCTCGGACGATCGCATTGGGATCTTAACACCTAGGAGATTGGTTGCAAGAGGAAGCAAGAATTGAGCCTTAAATTTCCCCTCCCTTTGATAGTAACCCCCCCCCCCCCCTCAGGGCCGGATTTGAGGTTGTGCATGCTAGGCTCAGGGCCCCAAATTTTAGAGGGCCCCCAAATTTTAGAGACCCAGTATACCTAATATACCTTAGAAATTTTAAAAAAAAAATATTCTAATTAAACGTAAAATGATTGAGAGGAATCAGAAGAGTTGGACTTCAATTCATCTTTGGCGATGTTTCCCATTATTTCTTCGACTCTTCGTAAACAAAAATTTACAATACCCAGTTTCCCGATGTTTCTTCTACTTCCACAATTCATCTCTGTCTCTCAGTCGCTGTCCGCAATTCATCTCTCTCTCTCTCAATCGTCTACAATTCATCTCAGTCTCTCAATCGCTAACCGCAATTCAACTAATCAACTCCACAATCGGACACTCCAATGACTCCACGAAGGCACGAACGGAATCGTCCGCTTTTGTGTTTCTCCGTAGCAAAGTAGGCATTAGGCAAGTAGAAATTAGCCAATTAGGCATGTAGACTGTCCACAATTTATTCTGCATTTTTTTAATAAAATTTATTCTGCATTTTTTCAGGCCGGTAGACTGTCGCAGGCGGGAGACTGGGAGAGTGGAGACTGCACCGGCCACTAGAGTGCTGGTCGGCATCCGTTAAGTCTGTAGGCAGTAGCAGACGAAGAACATAAACAAAAAATAAGGGTTTTTCGATCAGGTTGTTTCAATCCTTTTTCACTTTAAATTTTTAATTTTATATGTTTAAATTTAAAATGTGTAATGTGTTTGATCCTTACCTCTTTGTTAGAGTATTGTTGTTTGAAAGATTTAAAATTGTTTGATTGTTATCCTGATGCGGTTATTGCATAAAGAATTTTATTAACTATTCATGTTACTGTTGCATTGCAGAAAGAAGTTTTTCCAAGTTGAAATTGTTGAAGTCATATTTACGCTCTATAATGTCACAAGAACGACTCAATGGATTAGCAATGATATCTATCGAAAATGATCTTTTCGATAAAGTAGATCTCTTTTGGATAAAGTAGATTATGAAGAGTTGATCGATGAATTTTCATCAAAGAATGCTAGAAGGACATCTATTTTTTTATTTTTTTTTGGATAAGAGACCAAGGTTCGAACCTCGGCAACGGCAGTGTGGGAATTATGTCCAAAGTGGGTAGATTCCTTGTGCGCATCGGCATATGACCCTGTCTACTAACTCATTGAGTCACCGTGATTTACATCCTCCCACATGCTCTGTCGGGTCGAAGTGCGGGGGGGGGGGGGGGGGGGCGGGGGGGGCTTAGGGTTGGGGATTCAACCTTTTGGGATAAGTACATCTATTTTTAAATAAAAGATCTCTAGTTTGCATTATGTTAGAATTTTATTTATAATAAACAAAATTGTTTGAATTTTTCTTCTTTATATTGAAAAATAATATATAAATAAAAAATCTTATATTTTACGGTATTGGTTTTAAATATTTCACTTATACCTTTTGATAGGGGCGTAGGGCCTCATTTATTTATCAGAACGGGGCTACCAAAATAAAAAAACTGGCACTGCCCCGCCCAACCACCCCCCCCCCCCCCCGGCCCCCCAAAAAGAGAACACATTACTAAAAAAAATTGAGTCGAAACTCGAGAGCAATCATACTTGGGGTTTTTGACAGAAATGAGCAATTTTTGAAGGCATTAAATAAAAATAGAATAATTTTTAAATTTTGGACAATTGTAGGAAAATTTTGTTTGAGACTTGCATTTCTGGTAAAAAAACATAAGTCCCAAACAAGTTTCTCACTTTTTTTAAAATTATTATTATTTTTTTGTTTAATATGTGAAATGAAAATCTCACTTGCGTTTTACGTGAGGATGTACACCAAATGCAAGTGAGACTTGCGTTGGTGCGTTGTATTTTCCTATGCCACAGACGCATGTCCCACTTGTGTTTTTTAATTTATTTTTTAAAATTTTAAAACTTCATTCTTTATCCTCCAAGAAAATTATATATATTGCACAACAGAAAAAAAAAAAAAAAAAAAAACTAATTCACCAAAATGGCCATGGAGAAACCTAAAACCTCAAACTTAATAGTCACCGAGTCGGAGACATCATCGCCCAACCATCACACTTCACTTTTTACCACTTTCGCTAGCCATCCATTATAATTGATTAGCAGATCAAGACGGACGAGTGGTGACGCCCATTGCCTACTACCCGTCACTATTTTGCCTTTACTATTAGGGAAGTCACCGCCCTCACTATCACTGTTCGCGTAAAATATTCTTCATCCGCCATGATGGATTTAATTAACACGGGGTAGCCTGAATTACTAAACCCGATAATAATAAGACTTGGATAACGCGGTAATAATGATGTTGAATGTATGTCGCGGGGACAACCTTTGTATTGATAAGGTTTTGTACGAGAATTACAAGATGAATGTAATATTAAGACAAAGAAGTAGTAGATGTCCTAAACAAGACAATGATGCCTCCTTATATACTAAGCTTTTGCCCAACCGCCCCTTGAGAATAGGGTGGGCGGTTGGATCACCTTTGACTGGGTCCATTTGCACACCTGAGGCCTAGGACGCCTCCACCGGGGCCACTTTCCGCCACTGGCCCCCGGGTCGTGGTCGCCCTGGCTGAGGTCGGCCCCCAACCGGGGTCAGGCTTCGGCCGAGGTCGACGCCGACCTTTAGCCAGGGTCGACCTTGACCGAGGTCGACTCGTGCTGGGGCCCCCTTTGGCTCCTCCTATCGCGCTAACTCCTCTCCGGGTCGATTTGCCCCAAGCCCATTGCTAATATATCCATCATCAGTCCCCCACTCTTCGAGTTGCGAGTCTTCGTCAACGAAGGAGAGTAACCCGAGTCGAAGGTCGACCCCAAAGCCCGCGAGGGGGACATCCGCCTCTAGCTGGGGTCGACCTTGACCGAGGTCGACCCGCGCTGGGCCCCCCCTTGGCCCCTCATGCCGCGCCAACTCATCTCCGGGTCGGTTCGCCTCGAGCCCATTGATGTATATCTATCATCAGTCCCCCACTCTCCGAGTTGCGAGTCTTCGTCACGAAGGAGAGTAGCCCAAGTCGAAGGTCGACCCCAAGTCCGCGAGGGGGACGCCCGCCTCTAGCCGGGGTCAACGTCGATCTATAGCCGGGGTCAAACTTGTGAAATGCGCGCACATTTGCGCTTAAAGCGCAAAAGCGACGCGAGCGACAAGCAAACGCCTTGCCTAAGCAAGGCGCAAGTTTATGAGTAAGCGTGCGCCTAAGCGCGCTTTCTAGATAAAGCGATGAAGCGAGAAAGCGCTTAAAAGCGTGCTTTGGCATATAAAGCACAGTCAACGGTCATAAGTTCAAAAAAAAAAAAAAAAAAAAAAAACCTAAACCTAAGTAACCTGCTGGTCGCGAGTCGCAAACGCAAAACACGCCGCTCTTCTCCCACTTCTCTCTACCTACAGTCCTCAGTCTTCCTTCCTTGTCAGCTCGCTGAGTCGTTGACTGCCTCACGCCCTCACCCTCCTTCCTCGCCGGGTCGCTGGACTCGCCGCTCGCTGCTGGTATATCGCCGACTTATTTTTTTTTTCTTATGCGTTATTTCTTTTTTTTTTCTTTTCTTGTTTTACGGTGAAGTGGTGAAGAACAGTGAAGACTTAAATTATATATTGATGAGTATGAAGTAGCCGACTAAGCCAGTAGGACTACGAGTCTAGGATTATTGTTGGAGTTGGAGTTGGAGTGTTGGACTATTTTTTTTTAATGGTAATTAAATTAAGTTTTAATTAGAAAATATTTATGAATTATTAGATGTTGGTTTGATTTATTGTTTATCTATTAAGTTTGATTTGTTGTTTTGATTTATAATTTATTGCCTCATGGATAGTGGAGGCAGTGGACTGCCAGACGCCAACACTGCTCACTGCCTTACTGCCCAATTCTTGAATATTTGAAGTCTTGAATACTTTGCAATTTTGTAGGTGAAAATTATTGTTAGGACATAAATTTTGTGGCTCAAAATCCATGCAGCCATCAATCCGTTGCAGTCCACATACGTCCCATGCAGCATTGAGGAGCTTCTTGCACATTCACCGCAATTGCTGCACAACCTTGTCTTCAATCTGCATGCCTTCCACGTCCCTTTCTTAATGCCGCTATTACCTCTATTTTCATTGTATAAATAGATAGCTTTGCTTTGTCATTCATGCATCATTCATTGTAATTGAATCCATTCATCACGTAGAGTGTAATACATATATATATATATATATATATATATATATATATATATATATATATATATATATATATATATATATAATATTTTCCCTTGTTACTTATTCTTTTGTCATTTATATTTTTTCCTATTATTTAACTTCTATAATTCTCAATTTTCGATTCTTCGCTTCTGCATTATTCCGCTATATTCCTAACAATTATCTATAATAATGTCTAATCCAAGAAATCAAGATCCGGGATGGGATCATGGTACACCGGTTTTGGATAAAGGCACTACGCATGTGCGTTGTAAGTATTGCGAAAAAATAACGAAGGGTGGTATTTATAGGCATAAATTGCATCTTGTAGGAGGAAATATGAATGTTACTGCATGTAAAAAATGTCCTCAAGTTGTTAAAGATGCAATGAGAGAATTTATGCAAAGTAAGAAGCAAAGAAAGGAGGAAGTGTGTTCAACAATGGGTGTTCTTTCTAACTTTGATGAAGAAGGTGATGAAGGTATGGATTTCTTGGAGGTGGCGGGGAATCCGGGGATGGGATCTAGTTTGGAATCTTCAAACAAATCAATTAAAGGTCCCATGGATTTGTATTTTAATACAAAAGAGCACCAAAGTTTGAAAAGGTCAAAGGGCGGTAAGCAAGTAACATTGGAGGTATGCAAGGAGGAGTTGAGGGAGAGGGCTATGGTGCAATTTTCATGGTGGATGTATGAGGCCGGACTACCATTTAATTGTGTTCAATACACTAAAAGCTTACAAGCTTTATTGAGTGTGTTGCACAACATGGACCGGGAATGAAGCCACCTTCCTATCATGAAGTTAGAGTGTCATATCTTAAGAAGGAGGTTGAGCATGTTAAGGAGTTGTTCAAGCCACATCAGGAGACATGTGATGCATATGGTTGTTCTTTGATGATGGGCAAGTGGACAGATAGGAGAGGTCGTGCATTTATAAATATCCTAGTTAATTGTTCACTTGGGTCGTATTTCCTCTAGTCGGTAGATGTTAGCAAAGACACGATGGATGCTAAGAAAATGCTTGAGCTCTTTGAAACTTTTGTCAATCAAGTGGGGAAGGATAAAGTTGTGCAAGTCATATCTGATAATGCTTCAAAGAATGTGAGAGCTGGTATGTTTAAAATATTTGTTTTTTATATTAAGAATTTAAGATTTTTAAATTTTAAATTTTTTTACCTATTAATTCTTTATATAATTTAGACAAGGATTTAATGGAGTTGTACCCGACTTTGTACTGGACGCCATGCACTGCCCATTGCATCAATTTGATGTTTAAAGACATCTTTGAGATTCGGCATTTTGCAATTGCGTACAAGCGGGCTTTGAAGTTGTCGGTGTATATTCATTCGAAGACAAAACTTTTGAATTGGTTGAGGAAGTATATCGGGAAGCGTGACCTAGTCAAGTTTGCTAAGACTCAGTTTGCTACAGCATTCTTGACATTTAAGAGGCTTCATGAGCAGAAGAACAATTTGAGGAAATTGTTCAACTCAGAAGAATTCCTCACTAGCTCTTACTTCAAAGAAGAGGCAGGAAAAGAGTGTTCTAGAATCGTGCAAATGGAAACCTTTTGGAATACAATTCTAGAAGCACTTAAAATAGGCGGTCCATTGATTAGCATCATTCGGTTAGTTGATGGGGATGTTAAGCCATCAATGGGTTATATTTATCATGCGATGGAGATCACAAAGAAATCAATTGAAAAAGCTTTCAACAACAACACAAGCAAGTACAAGAAGGTATTTGAGATCATAGAGAAAAGGTTGACTTCCCAGCTTTGTCAACCATTGCATGCAGCTGCGTATTACTTGAATCCAGATTACTTCTGATATAGGGGTGAGCCACAGGTTTCTCCTACAATTAATTCGCCAGAAGTTGTTGCTGGCTTTTATTCTTGTTTGGAGAGGTTGGTTCAAGATCAAGATGTGCAAGACAAAATTACTGAAGAAATATGTGCATGGGAAATTGGGGGTGGTTTATTTGGCTTGCCAGTTACCAAGAAGCAACGCGGTTCTAGAGCTTCAGGTGCTTACTTCTTAGACGATTTAACTTACACTTTTTATTTATAATCAAACTTTGAATAATTTTTAAATTTTACAGTTGATTGGTGGACTTCTTTTGGGGGTTCAACTCCCCATTTGAAAGATTTCGCAATTAAGATTCATTGTCTCACGACTAGTGCCTCCGGATGTGAACGGAACTGGAGTGTCTTTGAGCATGTAAGTTAGTCAATTTAGAAGTAATTAGCAATTATAACATATTTATGCACTAATTCATTTTAAATATTCCAGTTGCATTCAAAAAGGAGGAGTCGCCTTGAACACATGCGCCTTAATGGTTTTCATTAAGTATAATAGGGCATTGAGGCGATGATGGGAAATGCGGGATACCATTGATCCAATTAGTTTGGATCAAATTAATTTTGCCAATGAATGGTTGACAGGTATCCCGGAGGATGCAAATGAGGAGTTGGTGTTTGGTGATGGGGATAGGTTGACTTGGGATGACATTGCTAAATTTTCGGGTGCAAATGAAACTCCGTATTCTCTTAGGCATGCTTCAAAAGGAAAAGAGAAGGTTGGTAGTTCAACTTCAAGGTCTAAGGGAAAGGAAAATGTTTCCCAATCTAGACTAGTGAATGAAGATGAAGATGATGAAGATGAGGAAGAAGCATGTGAGGATGATGGAGTTATGGAATTTGACAATTTGGATTTGTGTGATGAAGAAGATGAGTTTGATATGGACGATTGAATGACTATGAATGATTGTGTTGTGACTTGTGAACTTGTGACTTTAAGATGTTGTGACTTTAAGAGTTATTTTTATGTTATTTTGCATAATTATTAGAATATTTGGAGTTTTTGACTATATATATATATATATATATATATATATATATATATATATATATATATATATATATATATATATATATATAGTACATATATATTTAAAGTGTCGCTTTTCATGAAAAAGTGACGCTTCGCTTTGCGCTTTCGCTTTAAAGCAAAGCCCTCCCTTGTCGCTTTAGTGCGCTTTTTCGCTTTAAAAAGTTTGCCCGGGGTCGACCTTGACCGAGGTCGACCCATGCCGGGGCCTCCCTTGGCTCTTCATGCCACGCCAACTCCTCTCCAGATCGGTTCGCCCCGAGCCCATTGCTAATATATCCATCATCAGTCCCCCCATTCTCTTAGTTGCGAGTCTTCTTCAAAGAAGGAGAGTAGCCCGAGTCGAAGGTCGACCCCAAGCCTGCGAGGGAGGCGTCCGCCTTGCCCCCTCCCTTTCTAGCCGATTTCAACGTAATTTGATTGCGATGGGGACTCATCTTATGTAAGAACACCAACAAGTATTGGATTCCTTCGTGTGCTTTTGTTTGTCGTATTCTTGCCTTAGGCGAGCCAGTGGTGTCGTCCTTTGTCCCGGGATGCCCAGGTTGCACTTGGAGGTCGGACCTCCCGCCATGGATGAACTCATTTTTTTTTTGGGATTGGCGTGGTGTCTCCGTCAAGGGTACCCCTTGACCCGAGCACCCTTCCGTCGAGTGGCCAACGAGGTCGAGCCTCGCGCCCCCTTAGGGTAGCCCGTCGGCCCCAAGTGACCGGACTTGGGCCGCTAGACTCTTCAGTCGGGTAGCCAACGAGGTCGGGCCTCGTGTCCCCTTAGGGTAGCCCTTCGACTCCAAGTCACCAAACTTGGGCCGTTAAGCTCTTCCGTCGGGGTTGGTATGCGAGGTCGGACTTCGTGCCCCCTTAGGGTAGCCATTCGACTCTAAGTCACCGGACTTGGACCGTTAAGCTCTTCCGTCGGGTTTGATACGCGAGGTCGGACCTCGTGCCCCCTTTTGGTAGCCCTTCGACTCTAAGTCACCGGATTTGGGCCGTTTAAGCTCTTCCGTCGTGTTGGTATGCGAGGTCGGACCTCGTGCCCCCTTAGGGTAACCAGAGAGGCTGGATGGATACCCTCCACCCCTCCAACGAGTAGTGAAAATGAGTCTATTGCGAATTTTTACTACTTTTATTAAAGTTAAGGGGACGAACCACCTTACAAGATAGAAATATTGGAAGTACTTGAGCGGGTGCTCGGAGTTCCATACTCTATCTATCATCTCTCTTTTTGGCGTTTTGAGCTTGTAGCTGCCAGGACGGACCACGGCTGCTACCACGTATGGGCCTTCCCACCTCTTTGCGAACTTGCCCCCCTCCTGGGGCTGGCTAGCCTTACGCCTTCGCCAGACGTGGTCGCCGACCTGGGAATAACGAGGTCGGACATGCGTGTCGCGGTAGGCCTTAGCTTGGTGTTGGTAATTCTCAACGAGGAGGTCCGGTGGTTGTCCTCGTTGAGGTCGGTGTCGTATTCTTCTACCCCGGGGGGAAGGTATGGCTACTTAGATGGGGTTTGGGCTTCAAAGTCGTAGGACGAGGAGAATGGGGTCTCCCTAGTGACCCTCCTTGGGGTATAGGTAGCGTAGTAGGGTGCCGTTGTAGTATCTTCCGTGGAGTGTGTCCTCGAGGAGTAGGTAGGTAGGGAGCTCGAGCTTACACGGGGAAGACCAGGTAGGCTACCGAACTAGACTTCTTGAGGTCCTCCACCCGGGCTATCTTGGAGATGTGTTCGGGGCCGAGGTTGAGGGGTCAAGCCAAGTAGGTCCACCTCGTCTTGGGGAGGACGCCTGTCTTCTTGTACTCCTTAAGGTGGTCTAGCCAGTAGGGAGCTTGAGCTTGCTTGGGGAGGACTAGGTAGGCCTCTGAATTGGACTTCTTGAGGTCCTCCACCCGGGCAATCTTGGAGATTTATTCGAGACCAGGGTTGATGGGTTGGGCTGAGTAGGTCCCCTGGTGTACCTCCTCAATGACTGGCCTCGCCTCCCCGGGGTATAGGTATCGCATTAGGGGTCAACGCCGACCTCTAGCCGTGGTCGACCTTGACTGAGGTCGACTCGTGCTGAGCCCCCCTTGGCCCCTCATGTCGCGCCAACTCCTCTCCAGGTCGGTTCGCCCCCGAGCCCATTGCTTATATGTCCATCACGCCACAACTTGCATTTGGGTATATATACGGAGCCAGTAATATAGAAGTTTGAGTGGGAAAAGGAACTTAATTAAACGAAGTCTTTGTATTCTTATCAAATATTTACTACTTGAGCCTATAGAAACAAAAGCCATTTTATGTTGTTCAACATTGCGTTTTCTTCTATTAATTGAAGAGAACTTAATTAATCAAAGTTGTTTCTACCGTTTCTCTTTAATACACACACACACACACACACACACACACACACACACACTCGGTATGTATACCCATGCATTTCTTTCATTTTTATGTTACTAGCTAGCTTCACCCAACACAACTTCTGTTTAAATATTTTTTTTTTGGATTTGGAAGATGAAAGAGCTTTTCGAGATCGATTTAGCGGTGGTGGATAGCTTGTCACTGCCGCGATATTATTGGTACGATGATGATCGTTTCATCGATGCAACGAGTTCTCTTCTCGAGTGTTGATGGTTGTCTCCAGGTTACACATAGAACATAGAAAAATGAAGGGGTCGTTTACTAATTTGGAAAAATGGAGGATTTTCCAGAAAAATGGAGAAAATGAGAGTGGAAAAAATAAAAATTGGAGAAGTTGTTTACTAAGTTTCTTATTCCAAATGCTTTCTCCTTCTCCATTTTCCAACATCATGTACAATTTTGGAGAAAGAAGATTTGGACTTCTCTAAATAAAGGAGTGGAAAAATTTCGGGTGAACAGTATATAATGGGCAAGGTTCATTGTTCAAATCCTGTTGTGCACATTTTAGAAGTCTTTTTCATTTTCTTTGTTATTCTCCTTTACGCTCTTATTATTATTATTATTATTATTATTATTATTATTATTATTATTATTATTATTATTATTTGTTTTTCTTTTTTCTTTTTTCCTCCTCCCTACAGATTTGTTTATTATTACTATTACTATTATTATTATTATTATTATTATTATTATTATTATTATTATTATTATTATTATTATTATTATTATTATTATTATTATTATTATTATTATTATTATTATTTGTTTTTCTTTTTTCTTTTCCTCCTCCCTACAGATTTATTATTATTATTATTATTTTTTTCTTTTTCCTTTTTCCTCCTCCCTACAGATTTATTATTATTATTATTATTATTATTATTATTATTATTATTATTATTATTATTATATTTTTCTTTTTTTGCTCCTCCTTATGCACACATATTTATTATTATTATTTTAATTGTTGTTGTTATTATTATTATTATTATTATTATTATTGTTGTTGTTATTATTATTATTATTATTATTATTATTATTATTATTATTATTATTATTATTATTATTATTATTATTATAGAAATGTAGAAATGATATATGTCATTGTATTTAATGAAATCAAAAAATTAGAGAAATGAAAAACGGGAGGAATATGGAATGAAAATTAGAAAACTGGAGAAATGGAAAATTGGAGAAATGGAGATGGAAAACTGGAAAAATGGAGAAATGGAAAACTGGAGATGGAAAAACAGAGAAATGAAGTAAACGACCCCGAAGTATTTTAAATTTATTTTTTACAAACGCAAATATGACTTGCCTTTGTGGCATAGAAAAATATAACACACAAACGCAATTTCCACTTGTGTTTGTCGTACATCCTCACGTAAAACGCAAGTTGGATTTGTGTTTCAAGTATTAAATGGAAAAAATAATTTTGAAAAAAGAATATTCGTTTTTTACCAGAAAAGCAAGTCCCAAACAAAAAGTTAATGCCTTCAAAAATTGCCCATTTTAGGGTTCGTTTGGTATGTAGGAAAACGACTTCTGAAAAATGTTTATGGAAAATGACTTATTTTTCAGAAAATATTTTCCTTTTTAGTGTTTGGTTGCATGCTGGAAAACTATCTTGATGTGTTCGGTACATTTCCTGAAAAATGAATAGAATTGTATAATTAAACATTTTAAATATTTTATTTAAAATATAAAAAATACTATACTGTCGTGGCAGGCATGCATATATGTTGCTATTTTAAAGGTGGTCGAACTAACTCATAATTATTTGGATATTATATATCATATGCATACAACTTAAAATAAATTAAGCGGTTTGTAATTAAAAGAAGCATGCGGTAGTGTATTTATACATGACCATATAGAGATCTTTAAAAGTAAATGCAAGAGAATATTAAAGATTAGACATAATTCGGGCAGCAACATAGAAGCAAAGGTGGATACCGGTCCTTATTTATGGCTTCCGAGATGCTTCGGATTTTGCAAGTGATGGACTTTGAAATATAGGAATGAATGGAAACTGAGGAATCGGGAAGGCAACGACGACAACTGTGGAATAGGTAGCGAAGGCAACCATGTTTTGAGTGTTGGCGGAAAATGACTTACTTCAAAATTTAGGGTAAGTCATTTTATGCTAAAATGTCCACATTTTCCCCGGTTAACAAAAAATGTTTTCCGTTACTGGACTTTCCTATTACATCATTTTCCGAGTTTTGAAACGGACGCTTAGGGCATCCCCATTAGTGGGATTTTGCACATTTTAAGAAAAAGTTGATGTGTTGGAGGAGAGAAGAGAGGGGAGAGAGAAGAGAGGAGAGAGATGGTTAGGGTTGTTAGGTTACTTATTTAAGGGATTTTGTGAAATTTTGGAGATTTTATGAGATTTGAGGGAGTTTTTGAGGATTTTTTCTGTTCTTGATTTTGATTTTTATCTTTTTTCTTTTTCAATCCTTTCTCTTTCCTAATTTGCAAAATCTCCTCAAAATCCTGTCCCTATTAACTATGAAGGATGCCTTTAGCCAAAAGCCTATGATGCTTGCTCATATCACGGCAAATTCAAATGAATGATAAGGTCCAAACGGTCATTTCCTGGGAATTCCTTTACCACGAATCTAACGCGTTGAAGGCACTTTACAAGTTCAAACAGTGAAAAACAAAAACCCAAAACCCGAAGGATCTGCATCCAAATTCAAACTGATATCCAGATCTTGAACATCGTATGTGTATACTGAATCCGAGCTGAGTTGAGGTTCTCATTTCCAAATTCTTCATTTTTAGCTTGGGTTACGTCTAGAAGGTGGTAGGGTTTATGGTTTCTTAGTTAAGAGGAAAAAAGATGTCTAGGGTTTACGAGAACTGGGAGCGGTTGGTTCGAGCCACGCTCCGTAGGGAGCAGCTCCGGCAGAGCGGTCCCGGACACGGGAGGACTCCCAGTGGCATCGCCGGTTCCGTCCCTGATTCACTCCAGCGCTCCACTAATATCAATGCCATTCTTCAAGCCGCCGATGAGATTCAAGACGAGGACCCCAATGTCGCCAGAATTTGTGAGTCTCTCATTTCTCAGACTGGTTTAGGCAGTTTGCTGGCCTTTTTGATTTCCTGTACTTAATCCCTCCATATTGTATTCTTCTGCATACTTTGGATGCCATTTTTTTATTTTTTATTTTTTATTTTTTATTTTTTGAATAGTAATTCGTGAAGCCATATGCATAGTCCTTAAATGCTGTAAAGCTTCTTGCATTATCTATTGCTACTCTATTTAGGGTTTATGTTATGATAAGAATGGCAATTGAATTCCTCTTACATTGAGAACTCTGATTGTTACTTATCAAACAGTGAAAGTAAATATCCAATTGTTATTGAGCTTAGTTTATTTCTATTAGTGTGTGAGCAGGCATATTCCATGTCACAAAATTTGGATCCCAACAGTGATGGCAGAGGTGTTCTTCAGTTTAAGACTGGCTTAATGTCTGTTATTAAGGTAACCCAACTCTGAAATTTTAGTTGTCATATGAAATGGATGTTACACTAACAAGGTGCTTGGGCTTTTTACTTCCCCAGAGCAGTATAAGAGTGTATACATCAAACATATTTATTAACAAATATTGCTAATTTTTTGATAAATATTTATTGACAGATATGTTGATGAACTTGTTAACAATAATTTATCAACTAATATATATGAATGGCGAACCGATCATTTTTATACTATCATCAAACATTATCTGTTTGGATTCTTCTATTTCCCTTATTGTATATTCACTTGTTTTCTGATAATCTAGTACTTCCTTTGCTAGTCAATATGTGATTTAAAATTTACACCATTTTATTCAGCAAAAACTTGCTAGGAGGGATGGATCTCAAATAGATCGGAATCGTGATATTGAACGATTGTGGGAATTTTATCAACAATATAAACGGCGAAACAGAGTGGATGATATCCAGAGAGAGGAGCAACAATTACGTGAATCTGGGAATTTTAGTGCAAATTTTGGAGAGTAAGTATTTTTTCTGCTTTTGTGGTTCTTTGTCAAGTATCCAATGTCAATGCAGTTTCACAGGCTAGATACTTCATTTCATTACACAGTTGTTCATCTATATTAGCTTTTACAAGAACCATATTTAGCAGCTGACTCTTGCTGCTGGCGTTATAGCCTTAAAAGGAAGTTGATCAAGATGGAAGATATATTCTAATTTAGTTTATGTTCCTCCATCACTGTGCACTTCACTTCCCATAAGTTTCATTGAAAGTTGAGAAATGGAGCATATGAAATATAGGGATGCTTAATTTCAGACATTATTTGATAAAAAGCAAAGAATTAAACCAATTTTGACACACACACACTGCATTTATATGTATGAATAAGTAAATGATCTAATCAAATGTTTCTACTTTCTATTGTGTTACTATTACAATCTTGTAGATTGTCCTCACCACATTATGCGCTTGGTTATTATCCATCCATGGTCACCTTAAGAAAGTTTGCTAGGAGTGCTTTAAATTTACAGTTGCGTTAGGAGGATTATGAAGTGTTCCAATTAAAGTTAGTTATTAATGGTGCATTCAATCTACATTTGCCTTAAGGTTTTTGGTCCTTAGTTACCATAAAGGATCCTTTGAACATGAAGTGTTTTGAACAATAAGTTTAGTACTTTAAAAATAAGAATATTTTTCTTTTCTGGCATTATTGGGCATCAAATTGTTGTAGAACTTAGCTGGAAGTAGCATTATTACTGTTTGTTTCTAATGTAGCACTAGATATTTTCATATTATGAACTCTTGTTCTACTGATCTGGAACTTTCCAGGTTATTGTTGTTCAAGGTAAGTCCTTTTTATGTTTTTGTTTTTGTTTTCTCTTTAGCTTTAGCTTTTTATTTTTTAATTTTGTTTTTTTGTTTTTTTGTTTTTTTGTTTTTTTTTGTTTTTTTTTTTTGTTTTGTTTTGTTTTTTTTTTTTTTTTTTTTTTTTTTCTGGTTGATATATACTTGTTTCAGGTTAGGACTTAGGTTTTCAGAAATGAGGAAGGTATTTGCTACTTTGAGGGCACTAGTTGAAGTGATGGAGGCACTAAGCAAAGATGCAGCTCCAGAGGGTGTGGTAAAGCTTATTATGGATGAGGTATAGTATCCTTGATTGTGCATCTCTGAAAGCGGTTTCTGTCTCAAGATTTCTTCTTCTCCCAAATTATTGTCTTTAATGTGTTGGCATTTAAATGTCATTTTTCTTAATTTTTTCTCTTCAACAATTTGTTATTGAAGAGAATCCTCTCAATTACTTTATCATAGTCTTGCTATGAGTTTGACCAACTTCCTCCTCCCACCCCACATGGTGGTTTGATCAGTTACGAAGGATAAAAGCTTCAGACACGACTTTATCAGGAGAACTCACTCCATACAATATTATTCCTCTTGAAGCACCATCTTTCACCAATGCTATTGGATTTTTTCCAGAAGTAAGTAAACGATAATGATTTGAATTCTTCCCAGTTGTATGAGTTATTGACTTCTTGCTATATTTGGGCATGACATGTGCAGTTAGTGCTAGACTGCTAGCTTATCAGAGTTTCCTGAAATCAACTTATGCTTGTACATGTACCCATATAGACAACATGATACTGTTCTTAATATCTGCCTTGGTGCAATTCCATGCTCCTTAACATTCTTTCTATTAAGACAGTAAAGACACCCTGCCATCTTGGCTGTGTTTGAAAGGCTTTACTAATTATCAGTATGTTACTTTCTGATATTACTTGTGTGTTTACTTGGTCTTTGTGTTGAGTATCGTGTGTAGGTCAGGGGTGCAATATCAGCAATTAGATATGGAGAACATTTTCCTCGACTGCCATCCAATTACGAAATTTCTGGACAAAGGGATTTGGACATGTTTGATCTTTTAGAATATGTCTTTGGCTTTCAGGTATAGTGGTTTTTAACATCCCTAATGTGTACCTCTATAATGTTTTGTGTTCAGATATTGAAGTCAAATCGAAAGGTTTCTTTTTTATTTACCTCAAGTAAACTTGAAATGAAGTATTGATGTGAGCAATAATACATTTGTAATGTTTTATTTGTTATTTATTATTATTATTATTTTCAAATATGCCATTCCTTTTGGTGGAGTTATGTTGAATGCAAGGCTTCTATTGATCATTGTGCCATTGATGGCTTTTAATGCAAATTGATAATTTCTTCCACGTGGCATTAGTACTCTTTTGACACCAGATGTTGTAAATAGACTCTTTAGGATTAATGGCTTATTATTAAATTAAGGTGTTTGACTATAGAATTCAGTCATGAGCATATTCCTAAAAACAGTTCCAGGATGTTTGGTTCACGGAATAGGTCAGTGCAAAATAGGCATATTCTGCATTTGGTTCTTTTATATTTTGTGGAATGAGCTATTGGGAATAGCCACTCTAGACCTTCAATCAGTTCAATGGTATTAGCTGTTCGTGCTTTTTCAAGTATAACAACTATTTTTTATAATACCAAAAATACCCATTTTTTACACACATACATATGCATAGATGCATAAATATGATATACATGCAGGCAAACATATATATATATATATATATATATATATATATATATATATATATATATATATATATATATATATACTAGTTTTACACGCGCATTGTGCGAATGAGTTAATGCCCAATGTTTAAAATTAAATAAATATTTGAAAGTATATCAATGCAAGATTATATATGAGAAGTTCATACATAAGTAATTTAATGTCGAATTTGTTTATTTAAATATGTAATTCATAGTATATGAATACAATGTAATATAGGAGATTCATTATAATTGTTACTAAACCTTTTTTAAATAGTAACCAAGTATTTTTGTTACTAAAGACAATATAACTAATGAAATTATTTCTCTTAATTAATTTATTGATAATGAATAATTTTTTTTTGAATAAAGACATTGTAGGGACAATGTAGCGATTGCAATGTAGCGAATATAATCAATTGATGAATTTGAATGTAAAGAATTTTTATATTGGAGA